TAAAGGAAACAAACCATAAGAGACTCTTAATCTTAGGAAACAAACTGAGGGTTGCTTGAGGGGAGGGTGGTGGGGAATGGGGTAACTGGGTGATGGACACTGGGGAGGGTATGTGTTGTAATGAGTGTTGTGTATTATATAAGACTGATGAATCACAGACCTGTACCCCTGAAACAAATAATACATTATATATTAATTAAAAAAAAAATAATAGAATGTCACCATTTTGTAAAGCCAAATGAAAGATGGATCCAAGCAGTGATTATCAATGGTTGCTAACATCAACAAAAGAGAGCCAACAAGATATTATGTCTCCTGATGAAAGTACATAACATCTCTTATGGAGCAGCCTTGCCAAAAAACTAAACCCATATCAAACCAAACCTCCAGATCTAGCTACAAGCTTACAGGAAACATAGGGGCAAAAGGAACACGTTAAAAGATACTGTGGGGAAAGAGATGCTGAAAAATCCAAATCCTGATAATTCTACAGGCCAAAAGACATGGCTTTTTCAAAAAAAAAAATAAAGTGCAAGAACAAAAAAGAGAGAACATTATTAGACATCAGTCAATCTCAAAATGTTGACTTTATTCGGATTTTGATTCACACAAACTATTTAAAAATTATGACATCCATGAAACAATTAGAAATATTAACACCAGTACCTAAATATCTGGCATTATTGAAGAATTATTGTTAAATCTTTAGATGTGAATAGTATTATTATGTTTTTGTAAAGAGCAATTTTATTTTAGAAGTACATAATGAAATATTTATGGATGAAATGATATGACGTATGGTATTTGCTTCAAAATAATATAAGTGGGTAAGGGTATACATGAAACAAGTTTGTCCATATTGGAATTAGATGGCAGTATTGGATATGAGAGAGTTCATTGCATTATTATTTCTACTTTGTAAAGTACTTATCTTTTAAATATACATGTAGAAATATTTAGAGGTGAAAAGACATGATAAATGAGATTTGCCTCAAAATAATCCAGCTGAGGGGAAAGGGCTAGAGTGGGTGAATTTCTAGATGAAATAAGATGTGACCATGAGTTGTTGATACTAAAGCTGCAATGTTTATTGCACTGTTCTCTCTACTTTTACATGTGATTGACATTTTCCATAACAAAATAATTAAAAGCAAAAAAAATGCACTGTCACTCTGAGTAGTAGTAGAGGTAAGTATTCATTTACAACAAAATGTATTTAGCTGGCATATCATAATAATTGTAAGTAGTAATTCATCTGTGAAGGAAAAAGTTTAGCAAACATTGCCGCCACAGAGCATCTCATTGAGGCACCCAGTGTATCATTCAGAATAGCCACCTCCAAATCTCAGAGGCATTAAACAAAGTTTATGTGCCATGACAGGCTAAGCTACACTGCAGTAACAAATCACCCCCAGAATCTCAGCGGCATATAACAACAAAGTTTATTTCTTATTCTAGAAGTGATCTGTTCATTGGACTCTCTCAAGCACTCACACGGATGGAGAAGCCACAGTATCAAGTCTTGTCTGTTGCTGTGCCAGAGGGGAAGTGGGCTCTAGAATATCTTACGTTGGTGGGTAAAAAGAATCCAATCCAGAAAGACACATGTCACTCACTTTTCGCAGTTCACTTGCCTGAATCAGACACATGGCCCTATTCAACCACAAGGGGCCCAGAAATACATTACCATCATATGCCCAGAAGAGAGAACTAGAAATACTTGGCAAAGAATTCTGACTTCCTCACTAAGAAAACCTGTGTCATTATGTTGAAGCTGTATCATATATGAGCCCCGGGGATAACTGTACCTTGTTGCCACCCCTAGACAGTATCTAGACACAAGTGCTTATACATCCTTTTGGGTTATTTCACTCTTAATGACCCATAGTCATGCTGTAGATTGTATGCAGTATGCAATGTATTGATTGCATAAGGAATGTAAAGTAATTGGTTGACTCAAATATAAATTTAGAAATACTTTTTTAAAGTGTTCTGTTTTCCCCTTGGATTATTAAAGTAATATGTTCTCATTGTAAAACACTTGGAAAATATAAAAAACTAGAAAGAAAAAGGACAAATCACTCATAATTTCACCTTCCAAAGGTAATCAGTTTGTATTTTAATGGATTTCCTTCCAAACTTTTTCTATGCGTTTTTTAAAAAATTCGTTTTCATAGTCACGAAAACTATAATCATTTCTTAATTAGTGACATTGCTCCAAATAGCTGATCTAAGTGGCCCTAAACAGATAATTAAAAAAAAAATTAGTTCTTTTCCTTGTAACCTGGGTATTCTAACATGGTTAGGTAGCATTAAATACTAATGGTTAACAGTTCTATGTCGCTTTCTGTATTTGGGAGCAATGAACCCCTAGTTCTAAAATTGCTTGTTAGTGTAAGAACAGCCATGAAACAAATGAATAATTGTAATTGTTATTTTCATTTGCTTCTGATATTTTCGCCATCCAGATTACTAATGAAAAGGGAACAGCTTTGTAAGTTCATATTACTGTGGAATTTAAGCCTCTTAAAATAATCAAGATTCTGGTTACCTTTCAAAATAATAAAAAAATGCTTATGGTCCAAGCAATGATTAAAGTCTAAGGAATAAATTGGCCGAATATGTTACAATTGGGATGATTTCCTGAAGTCAAAACCATTTAGTTATAAATTGGGATCTTTAGAGGTCAAATATGATACATGGAGTTTTTCAATAATTATTACTCAAACTTTGCAATGACTCTTTTTCATTAATATTTTTATTTGACATTGCATTTCATGTGCAGATTTCTTCATTTCAATCAGCAAAGGAAATCATAGGAAATTTAATTGACAAAGAAGCTCCAAAAACAGCTTGTAATTTTATTATATTGCAGCAACCTCTCAACTATTTGTGTTAGTAAATAAGAGAATGACACAGTGAATTGTGAACTTCTTAGGGCAAATTTCATGAATTATCCGTTTTTGTAATCCTTACAACTCCTAGCATAAGGCACTGCACAGAGGAAACATCCATAAACAAATAAATGTGATATAAAGTACAATTGCATTTGTATGTGAAAGGCATTCCAGTTTGGGGGGGTTGTTTATTGTTATTTCATATAAATCTTTGTATTCTGGAATATGTCCTTATAATTTCTAGAAGGGAAATTATTAATTTAGGTCATGTGAACATTTCTTGATCTGATTTGACAAATAACTTTCCAAAATCTTTGTCCTAATTTATATCCCCAACAGGATGAGTGCGCATTTCACTCTACCCTCACCAATGGAGTTTATTCACATTTTAAACAAACTGGCTAATTAGATCCACTGGAAATAATATCTCTTTTGTCTTCATTTCATTATTAATGAGTTTGAACATTAGTAAAACATGGAGTAGGCACTGAAATTTCTTGTTTTGTGAATTGACCATTCATGTGTATACTTTTCCTATTTATCTCTAAGGTCTCAGTGTTTTCTATTTCTATTCTTTGTCCTCACACTATATATATAAACATGTATTATACTATATGAATAGTTCTATATAAACACTTCTATCCCAAATATACATTTGTATATACGAGTCTCTGCTATTAGATGGTGGTTCCATAAGGTCAGTGACCCCATTTTTATTCATTAGGGGTTATTTATTTGAATAACCCCTAACACATAGAGAAAATGCATACTGTACCTTGTAGAGTTGCTTAGGATTGAATGAGATAATGTAAGCAAAACATCTAATGCAGTGACTGTCATATAGTAGATGCTCAATAAATTAAGCTATCAATAAAAGTTTTACTGTTGGACTAAAACCACACAATTTCATTTTGGAGTTTAGTAAAATCAAGGCTAGAGAAAAAATTTAAGATTCTATGTTTTTGAAAGATCACAAACTGTAGTTGCAAATTGCAGATTTAGAATTTGAACCAATTCTCAAATCTTTCACCATAAATCACATCTGATTGAAATACTCCTGATATATTATAACTGAATTTTTTTTAAAGATTTGAGAGAGAGCACCCGCGCGAGCACAAGCAGGAGCAGAGGGAGAGAGAATCTCAAGCAGACTCTGCCCTGAGCTAGGAGCCCCACTCCGGGCTCCATCTCAGGACCCTTGGGGATCCGGTCCCTGAAATCACAACCTACCCTGAATTAACCCACTGGGCCACCCAGGTGCCCCTAACTCTTGAAATTTTAAAAGACTGGTATGAATTATGAGCTGGCAAAACTTTCTGGCAACAGATGCATTCTTCTCCCCGTACAGATTCTCTCTTCTCCCCTCATTTAAATTTATAGGAAACTTGTGGTAAAAATAGTAAAGCTCAACAAGCACAAAACATATATCACATGAGCAGCATTTATTTCTCCAGTTGGTTAGCTTTTGTTCTTAGACGCGGGGAGGCAGCTGTTCTTGTGGTCATTGTTAGAAAAGCAGAACTAAAGCAACGAGAGGAAAGGGCAGCAGCGTTGGGAACAGGCAGTGAGCTGGAGGGCTTAAACTCGGGGATGGGTGGGAGCATTTTTGCTGCTGCCGGGAGAAAAACGGGGGTGGCAACACCAGTGTGAAGTAAAAGGCTTTCTGGGAGGACAGCAGCGCGGAGAGCAGGCCTGGTTAGCTGCCCAACGGCAGGCGTGTCCGGTACAGGCCGGTGCGCCGCTCCGGCTGCGGAGGCTGCAGGCTGGGGGCGGGGGAAGCTGAGGCTAGGTCAACGAAGGGCAAAGGAAGCCGGACACTGACGCAGTTTGCCTCCCGATTCCGGCTTTCAGGCCTCTAGTGGGAAACCGAGTCCCCATCCGAAGCCGGTCTTCAAGCTGCCTCATTACCCCAGAACCTTCCCAAGCACTTCCGGTAAGAAGCCAGGCACCCACAGCCCAGACCCCGCAGAGCAGCGCGCAGGCGCTTCGGTACTCGGCGGAGGCTGCGGACGCGGAGGGAGGGGGGTGTGTGAGCCGTCGGAAAGCCTCTTCTGCGCGTGCGCTCTCTGCTCTTCCCCCTCCCCTCCCCAACAGGTCGGGGGGGAAAACAAACCCTGAGCCGACGTAGCGCACCCCCGGGGCTCCCGGCCGGGGTCGCTCTTCGCTCCTCTGCTTGACGTCGCATCGAGTCCCCAGAGAGCTCCTCAGGGGTGTGGGGAGGTAAGAGCCCCCATTAACAGGCAACTTGGCCACTCCTCACCCCTGCTGCACTCTCGGAGGGGGCGGGGTGGCCGCTGGACCCGCCGACCTGGGCGCAGGGTCTGGCCCTCCCTTTCCTCCAGGGGCCGAGCCTGGGCCCCCGACTTGTTCTCTTTCCAAGGCCCCAGAGTTGGACAGGGAATCACGATCCTCAAACCTCGAGTCCCCTCGGTAGAGCTTGGAGGGCCGGAACCGGCAGGGAGGGCAATCTCGGCGGCTTTTTGCCGGGTCCCACCCACCCGGGCCGCCTCGAGTCGCCCCGAGTGCTCCCGGCTGCCGGGGAGCGCCCCGGGGGCGGCGGCGGGCACGGAGAAGCGCCCCCAGGGCTGCCTGTCCCGCCAGGGGAGGGGCTGTGCCTGCCTAAGGGGACTGTAGTTCCCGCGGAGAGATAGTTTCTGCGCTGGGAGGACTTGGCTCCAGGAGAATCTGTCATCACCGCCCTTGCTCTTTCGTAAACCCCATTCTGGCACCGATGCATTTTCTCATCATTTTGGACAGAAGGATGCGGTGGTGTTCCTTTTCTCTATCTTTTCTCTGGTACCTCTGAAAAATTCTAAAAGATGACCTAACTTTTAAACTACTAACTTACGTGTACTAAGTGATTGCAAATTATTCCAGACTGAGTGTTCTTGTTAGTTTGGTATGGAAATCAGTCCATACATGTGATAAGTTCATCTTTACATTTAACAAAATAGGAAATTGGTTGGTCGATTTAGGTTCCTTAAATTATTATTTTAAGCTCGTTGTCTTCTGAATCGGCAGAAGTGTAATGGTTTGATCCAGGGAAACTATATATAATTTTTCACCCAATTTCTTTTTTTTTTTTCTTTCCGGTGGATATTAAACTGCATGCTTAGTGTCAGAAAGAAAATCTTAAATATAATAAAGATTAGGAAAATATAATAAGCCGTAATTCCACCATTTGAAGATAATCGCAGTTAATATTTTGACTTTTTACCTTCCAGTCTTTTTTCTCGTGGCATTTTCTTAATTATGATGATGAGATATTATATAGAGTTGGATTGCCTGCTTTCCCTGCTTAAATTTGTTTCCTCATGTTTTAAAAAAATCTTCATAAGTATAACTTTATGATGTTTGATTATACAAGTAAGGCACGAGCAAAATATCTTTTGAAACAGTTACATGACAGATAAAGCTCCGTTCCCATTTAATTATAATCCCAGTGTTACATAATATGATGGTATCACAGTTTTTTAACTCAGTGGGGTCTCAGGATCCCTTTACAAACTTAACAATTATTGAGGACTAAAAGAGTTTTTCTCTAATGCAATATATTTAGTATTTTAGAAATTAAAACTCAGAAAATTTCTAAAAACTATGCATTAAAAACCCTTCACATGTTGAATTAAATAATATTTTTGAAAAATATATTTTCTTTAAAAAATTTAGTGAGAAGGGTGGCATTGTTTTTTATTTTTGCAGATCACTAATGTCTTGCTTTATAGAAGGCAGCTGGATTCTCATATTTGCTTCTCCCTTCAATCTGGTGTGCTATCTTGTACACTAAAGCACATTAAGAAAATCCAGCCTTGTATAGATAGGTGTTTGGAAAAGGAAGGACCCCACTGACCCCCTAAAAAGTTCTTGAGTCTTCCAGGGGTCTTCAGACCAGTTTGAGAAAGATGATTTAACTATTCTTGTATTGATGCGCTGTTAGGTTCTTTGAAATTTTGCACTATTACAAACATTGCAAGTTGAAAGCTCTTGATAATTTGGCCCCCCCCCCCAAGTGCTAATGTTTCTCTAGAAGTAGAATTACTTTGGATGCCTGGGTAATTTTCTTTTGTGTCATAATGTTGGTGTTTAGATGGTTTCAATTAATGATTTAGTGAAATACCTTTGCATGTTTTCAGTTGCTTTGGATTTTCTTAAATTTTTAAAAAGGAGAATTGTTACATCAAATGGAATCTCTTTGGGACTGTTGATACATGTTGTCACATTGTTCTTCTGAGAGGGTATACCAGTTTACTTCCTATCAGCAGTATCTGAGATGCTCTTTTTGTCATACCCTTACAAACACTGACCACTTTTATTAAAAAAAATTGTGGGGGTGGCTGGCTGGCTCAGTTGGTAGATCATGCGACTTTTGTTCGTGAGTGTGAGCCTCATGTTGGGTGTGAGATTGCTAAAAAGAAAAATTGTGTTCTGATTCAGTAGGCAACAAATGGTAAGTGTTCTACTTCATATTACGTTGATAGTACAGATGGTGCTGTGAATATTTTTTCATAATTTTATTAGTTGTTTGTATTAGTTGCCAATTTATAGTCCAGTGTCAATGTATTTTTCTAACAGATTTTTATTATCTTTTTTTTTCATTATTAAGTTTGGTGTTGGCCCTCCATATTTTTCTTCTGTACCTTTGCTAATACTTTTTTTTTTTAAACAACTTATTTGTAAAAATGGGTTTGTACTGTGCATGATGTTTTGCAGTTTGATTTTTTGTCATTTAACATTACATATTGGCTATTTTCCTATAGAAGTACATATAACTCTGGGCAAAGTTTTCTCCAGAGGGGCTTTAGGAACATTAATTGTGATTTTTTTTTTAATTTTATTTATTTATTTGAGAGAGAGAGAATGAGAGATAGAGAGCACGAGAGGGAAGAGGGTCAGAGGGAGAAGCAGACCCCCCGCTGAGCAGGGAGCCCGATGCGGGACTTGATCCCGGTTTCTGGGATCATGACCTGAGCCGGAGGCAGTCGCTTAACCAACTGAGCCACCCAGGCGCCCATTAATTGTGATCTTTAGTTATCTGATGTCAGGCTCCTGTCCTCTATATTCTCTTCCTAGGTGATCTCATCCATTAACAGGTATGTGCTGCCAATTCCCAAATCTTTTATCTATCTCAGACTTCTTTCCTGCATTCCAGATCCTTGTATTCAACTGCCTATTGGACATCTCCCCCAGGATGTTCTCAAGGTACTGCAAACAACAGTCCAAATGTGAACTCATGTTTTCCCTCAGTCCTGCTCTTCTCTGTATCGCCTGCCATGGTCAATGGTCCCACCGTCTGCCCAGTTACCCATGATGGAAACCTGGCAGCAATCCTAGCTTTTTCTCCCTTTCACTCTCCAGAATTTCGCATTCTTTAGCCATATTTTCTATCAATCTCCTTTCCATCTGCTCTGTCCTGTGTCAGTTCAGGCCCTCATCATCTCTCATCTGAACCATTTTAGGAGTCACCTTACTATTGGTTTTGTTGGTTTTCTGGTTAATCTATGTTGCTGCCACTTTTTTTTTAATCATGAAGACATTTTTTAAAATCATTTTTTGTAAAGTAAATATTGTAAATCTTTGATTGTAAATCTGAGAGTACATAAATGGTCAGGTGAGTAAAAATATTACCTAAATAAAATAGGTTATCATACGTACACATAAACTTCTTCAGAATAGGGAGTATATCTTATATTCCTTTTGTGTCTTCTTACTGTATGTGCTAGATTATTGGCACAGTAAGTACATCTTAGTTGAATGAAATGGAAAGTATGTGCAGCTTCAAATTTCATGTTAAAAGTTTTCATGTACAGTATCTGTATTATATCTTACATAAATTGTTGAATGCTATTATTATTTATCTTACCTTTTTTATACCTTTTTAGGCACCTCAGATGACATAATGCTTAGTAGTACAGTGTGCTATATAGAGATAACTCTATAAATAGATATTTCATGAATTCCATACTTTTTAAGAAAAATTGTTTTTTTTTTCTGATGAGAGACTATTTCTAGACCTTCTGATTCCTGTGCTTTATGTTTTTAATATGTTCTATATTCAGAGTTCCTTTACTACTTTTTGCTATTAAATTTGTAATGTAATGTTAATGTTTATTGAAGGGATACTTGTACATAATTTAAAGAGTAAAATAAGACTACAAGACTTAAAATGAAAAGCAATAATCTTTTGCCCCAGTCCTCTCTCCTGAATCCCACTCTGCAAAAGCAGCCTTTTTCAATCAGTGTTCCTCATCTAGAACATAAATTGCGTTACTATTTCCTTAATTCCCTCCTGGATGGTTTAAAACTAGTAATACTTAAGAAGCATAGGAAAGAAGGTAATTCATTACATAAAGTGGATGCCTTAGGGCATTAAGGCTTCATTCTCTTACAGAACCTTGCTGAGAAATGCACTTACAGAGTGACTAGACTATTCAGCTATTATTTTTTTGTTCAACTCTTTTTCACCTCTAGGTTTTTTAAATAACCTGCTCACTTACACAGCTATCTCCCCATCCTATCACAGTTTTAGATATTATTTACCAATTTCCTATCACAGAAGATGAGAGTTTAGGTTTGTTACACAAGCCTCCACCTTTAAACACTGCATTTTTCTTCACCTCTTATCTGCAGATTAGTTCTATGTTAATTTTTAGTTAAATCATTATTTAGTGTTTACATCATTTAAGTACGTACATAATATGTACAGGTGACCAGGTATATTGTGCTGTTTCTTTGTTATACAATTTTTTGTTTTTTTCCTAGCGTTTATAATTACCTTAGTTCTTTTTTTTTTTAAGATTTTATTTATTTATTTGTCAGATTGAGAGAGCACACAAGCAGGGGGAGAAGCAGGCTCCCTGCTGAGCAAGGAGTCTGATGTTGGACTCCATCCCAGATCCCTGGGATCATGACCTGAGCCAAAGGCAGACGCTTAACTGACTGAGCCACCCAGGCGCCCCTACCTTAGTTCTTCTATATATCTACCTTTTATGTATCTTTATGAATGTATGTTTTATATCTTTTTAATGTATCTTTTAAAATGTATATATTTTAAGATTTTATTTAAGTAATCTCTATCCCCAACATGAGGCTCAAACCTACAACCCGGAGATCAAGAGCTAGCTGCACCCTCCACTTAATGAGCCAGCCAGGCACCCTGTCCTTCATATCTTTAATTTATTAACAACCCTTCAGACAAGATATGTAAGTCTCCTTTTGGTAGT